AAAAAAAAAAAGAAATGTATTGTTCAGCATTCCTTAAGGATGAAGGAGGTACAGTGAGAAGTGAACAATCATTGTTGGGTCCAGTTGACAGAAGAGATGAAAAGTCATTCAGAGGGGAAGTCAGAGCCCTTTTCTAATCCTCTTTTCCTCTTTCTTCTTGACTTAATGATACATCTTCTTCTTTTTTTAACCTATCAATATGGTAATTGTAACTTATAATTGTTGATATCAAAATATTGAAAAAAATCTTGAATTTCTAAAATAAAAGTGGTTAAGATGTCTTATTTCTTCACATATTGGTAGTTTTTTTGAAGATATTTTATTTGACATTTTTACGTCAGCAGTTGAATGCATTTAGCTATAGCTTTCTAGTGATTTCTTCCTCAGCTTTTGGTATCATCATTTTCTCTTCATCTGGTCAATGAAGTCTGATCTTGCCTTGAGGAATTTCCTCCTCCCATACCATAAGATTCTAGAAAGTTTGTCCATCATGACTCTCTACCCTTTTCTTTCACATCCATGATATGACACATGGTAATCAATCAAACTAATCTATTCTTCGGACCACAGTGATTACTTTATAGGTCAGCATATATACAGTAACCCAATATAAGCCGATTATAACCTTCCTAAGATTCAATATATCAGCACTGCTTCCCCAGCAACATGGGAGAGGAAAAATAAATCCAGAAAGTTAGGGGAAGCAGAGATGGATAGAAGTAAGAGATGACAGAGATAATCCTGTTGTTAGCTCAGCCTGATGATCAGGCCTTCTTAATCTACTCACACAATTTTCATTTATACCATCCAACAAATTTTCTTTTTTGCATAGGTTAATTTGAATTTGTTTTTGTCATTTCTGGCCCAAAGCAACCTAATAAAACAGTCTTGATGTGTATCAGTTGGAACTGGTTAAAGATATTTACAGCAGATAGGTGCCATAGTCAATTATTTAGCTTTACATCTATATTGATTGGTATGGAAATGTATTCATAACATATGTTGAGTGAAAAAAATCTGTATTTGTAGTATGATCGAATTGAAGTAAAATATATTTTATGTGTAACATAAATACTTATACTTATCTATGGGCGTATATGTATCTGTAAGCATATGTTTATACAGATGGTTCCCGACTTACAATTTTTGATCTTATAATGATGCAAAAGCAATATGTGTTCCATGGAAACTCTGCTTGAAGTTCCCACACAGCCATTCTATTTTTCTATTTCAGCACAGTAGTCAATAAATTACATGAGCAATTCAACACTTTACTATAAGATTGACTTTGTGTTACATGATTTTGCCCAACTTTAGGCTAATGTAAGTGTTGTGAGCATGTTTAAGGTAGGCTGGACTAAGCTATACTATTCAACAGATTAGGTGTATTAAGTTTTTGATTTATGATATTTTCAACTTCCAATGGCTTTAGTAATGTAACTCT